TCTCTCTCTCTCTCTCTCTCTCTCTCTCTCTATCTCTCTCTCTCTCCTCTCTCTCTCTCTCTCTCTCTCTCTCTCTCTCTCTCTCTCTCTTCTCTCTCTCTCTCTCTCTCTCTCTCTCTCTCTCTCTCTCTCTCTCTCTCCTCTCTCTCTCTCTCTCTCTCTCTCTCTCTCTCTCTCTCTCTCTCTCTCTCTCTCTCTCTCTCTCTCTCTCTCTCTCTCTCTCTCTCTCTCTCTCTCTCTCTCTCTCTCTCTCTCTCTCTCGTTCTCTCTTTCTCTCTGGCGCGCGACGCGGGCGCACGCCAGACGGCAATACTGCAGGACAACACCACCGCCGACGGCAATACTGCAGGACTCGAACGCCAACATCAAAGAAGTGTTATGCAACCGTGCGATTTACCAAAACTGGTATCTCCCACCCGTCCTCCCAAGGTGCTGGCCGAAGGAGCGCGGTGCATGAAGCCGCAGGACAACGGCGAGCGGTAGGCCTGAAGTCGAAGCGACGCTGGGAGAAGCGAACCATCTTCCCTTGGCCCAGCCCCCGGACCAGCCGGCCGCATGTGCTCGGCGAAATTGTGTGTGGCGGCGCTTGAATAAATCGAAACGCTTCAGATAGCGTTAGGCTCCAACTCGGCATTTCCTCGAACGTTTCCCAAAAGCCGCACTTAAACGGTTCAACCGTTGTTGGTAAGTCGCCTGCAAGTTGGCCAAGCGTCAGATTGTCTTCGCGCTCGGCATTAATCAATCAGGGCGGCAGCATCCGTGTAAAAGTGAGTCATCCGGCGGGCTCCGAGAAGCCACGCCCGCTCGCTCGTCGACTCGTTAGCTAAGTAAATCTGAGCCTTTCTCGCGGTGGGGAACTTGAGCCGAGCGCAGTATGCAAAGCGACCTCAGCCGCCGCTACATCTCCTGAATGGCGGCTCAGACAGGAGCCGTGCACGAGAGCCGAGCTTCTGCAAATGTCAGGCGTCATTATGGCAGCAGTCGGTTGAAAGGAGGAAAACCTCACGTGACCAGCACATCTGCAGCGCACACGAGCCGCAGACTCCGGCAGGGGTTCGTCTCCCTTTTCATGGGGCGGATAATTAGACAATGCGCTCTTCAACTCAGTTAAGCCTTACTCCTGGCCTGGAAGCATTAAAAACGTCAAAATAGTCGTGGTAGAATGTTTTAGCCTAACCTGTTGTGGCAGCACAAGACCTCACACCTTTAACATTTTGGCACTGTGATCTTAGATCGCGTTACATAGCATGACACTCAGCCAGTCAGTGTGCAACTCCGCCATCATAAAACGTCGATAAAAGACCCAAGGGATCACTTCAAACGTGATCAAGGCCCAAATATTACCTTTCTCTGAAGATTTTCGCTAAACTCAGTAATGACACGACAAACTTATAAACTCTCATCTACCCCATTTTCATCAAAATGGTTTCATCAGGTTATATAAGGTCAGAACCCAGTGCTAAATTATGCTAGCCAAATCAAAGCAACGGTGGCCGCTCTGCTGTTTTAGGCGTTTTGAGCGTAGGCACACTGAGCTCTGCGGGCATTTACCTCTTACGAGAACACTCCACATAACAACTACCGATCGTTGAACTTTCAATATGCCGACAGATAGCTTTGACATTGGACATCTACGATTTAGACACTGATCTTGTTACCACGAGTAATATTGCACGACTCGGCCCGTCACAAAGGCAGCAGAGAGTACGCTCTTTCAGCATGAAAATGACTCATAAAAACTTGCGCGACAAAAATTGATCGCTATATTTGGCCTCAAACTGCGCATTGGAATATTGCATGCCTTAACTAATTAAGATATCGAAGTACGTCGCAGACATGCGTGACAACTAACATTTTTATTACATCAATGCTTGCCATATCTTTTGCACGTTTTCGTCCCTCCATCGGTACTTGGCACTGATGTAAGCTTAACTGAGGTCTGCCAATAGCAGCAGATCGTAAAGTTGACTGTTCTCGCGCCTTATCAGGTCATGCCAGATCGGGGGGTAAAAGCGTAAAATTCGACAGTAAAACACCGACTTAATAGTCATTCGTCAGTCGATTGGGAACTGGAAACTGTATAAGTATTTTGCTTTTCTGCCGATTGTCTACGTTAACATTACAGCGCACAAAACATGAACATTTGTAAATTGAGTTCCAAAAGATTCGAAGATATCGTTAATGTGGTAGAAAACTTGGTCGCTGTTGCTCTAATCTAGCCAACCGTTTCAGAGCAAGTCACGAATAACAGATAATCTTGAAGAGATATAGTTATCAATTTCTGAGGAATGTGGGCATATTTTGCTATTTCATTTACTGGCTTGTGGTGGAATACCCGATCAGTACCATCAGAGCGTAATTGGGCGTTAAAAATAGCATTGTGAATAGAATTCATCAACAAGCGCTCTCGATTGCAGCACATCAGAGACAAACGATGAATTTTTCTTTGCTACCTCGGAAGATTTCATTGGCTACTCGGAGTGATCTAAAGCGAAACCACGGTGCCCATGCACTAGTCTTTTCCATGTTAAGTTACGCAGTTTGAATAGGACTTTCAAACTTGTGTCCAGTTGAAGGCTCTCAAAATCCGTGAGATGAAATCACTCACTGTGCCATTGCTAGCCTTTATTCATGACTTCTTCGGCACCAGCAAAGTGCCAACCAAGTGCATCCACAGATGGGTAACCATATTTCCACTAGTCAGCACTAGCCGTGCCGTCGGCGATGGCATGTCAGCAATTCAACATCGAATTACAACTTCTCGTAATAGCGATTAGCTAGCATAAGTTACGAACATTTTATCAGTTTTCCTCACTTAAGTAATAAGTTTTCCGAATTCCTTCCGTTTTCTAAATAGCAAGCCCGGCAAAAATCCACATTACGTGACCCCCCGCTTTTCGGCCAGCAAGGAAGTGAACTGCACTGAACTGAGCAACTGAACTAGAAATAAGCTAACGTGGTCGCCGCCGACCGTCGTTTCTGCGGGCACTACAGCGACAGAATGAGGACACCGTACAGTCATCTTATCAGGTCCCTCGATAATGAGTTGGGAAAACAAGATAGTTCTCTGCCCTGCGTAAAGATTAGAGTACTGTGCGACATTTTACCCGCTCTCTAAAATTATTAAATTTGGAGGCCAAATTGCTACTTGCAAGTTGCGTATTGCATGGAAATAGTTTTGATGCAATCCCTGTGAGATCACGCGACATACCATCCGCATATGAGACGAAACTGTCTCGCCACTATTGCTGTTTATTTCATGTGGCGTCAGCAATAGCATGATTACAGCAGTTCAAGTAGCAGTAAATGATGAGCCAGGTATGGATTTCTTCATTGTTTTGATATTTAATAATTAAATATATCACGAGCCCTCGGATTTTATATGTAGCAGACAACCTTTCACGGGTTTTAGCATAGGATCTAGCAATGTAGGCCGTTTTTATCATGCAATAACCTCTGGCTTCTGGCTGAGATTTGGCAAACTTTAGTTCAGGATGAATAATATTGTGTTGCCTACTTAAGAATACAATGACAAACTTGTGCTAACTTTCCTAAAAGCTTAGTTATTTGCGTTGCATGCTGTTCATTTCAACATTCTGAAATGGGCTGCTTATTTGTCTGGGGTGTGCTGCGTTTTCTCATGCTACCATTTTTACCATGTTCATGTTCCCATTTTGTGCCATAAACTTACTAACGCAATGTTGTTAGAAATTATCAACTCACTATTTAGCTCATGAAATTTACGAAGAGGGTGACTCGGCTCATGACTCAAAGCTACAGTTTTCCTAGAGAGCGGACTCAGCCACGACTCACTCCAAAACAATGAACTCGCGAGCCGATGTAAGATTTAGCTCGAGTCGAACACAAGTCTGTTGTGGCATCGCGGACAGATCAAGCCGGAGCACACCATCCCATCCGGCCCTATATGCTGCATCGCTGTTCCGTATATACGTGTCCTATAACTTTGCAGATGAGGGCCTCTTTTCGAATATGTATGAGCTGCGACGCTGGTGTGACGCGCTCGATTTGTAGGACTGAGCCAGGCTTGCTTTCATTTATCAGAACTAAGACTTCAGCGCCTGTGATTCCTCGCTCAAAGAAGGTGAAAGTCCAGCGGTTGCCAAGGCAAACAAGCGACACCTCACGGGAGATGTTGCACCAACATGACAGGACAAATGTGGCAACCCTCTAGCCATGGGCAGACCAATGCACGATCACACCAGCCATTACTGTGGCCGCACCCAAACGTCATCCCGAACTTCCAATGTTCTATTGTCGTGTGTGCTAGACGATCATGATGAGGTCTTATTAATTGTTTCATGCTTTCATACCGCCCAACATGCTACGCCACCACCAACGTCAACTTTCCCGCGGCAGAGGCAGAAGCGGAGGCAATAGCGGCAGAAGCGGAAGCCGAGCGCAGCCGACAGTAGATTCCTTACCGGTTCTCCAGCTCGAAGGACCACGACCTCGTGACTCGCAGCCAGACCCCTCGGGCCGAAAGATCATGACCTCGACCCGATTGACCTGGCTCGCGGCCAGGTCCGGCGGGTCGAAAGATCATGCGGCGTGCAGCAGGCTCCCCGCCCCCAAAGCGCCCTCACCTGCAGCAAGCGCGACAGACACCTACAGTTGAAGGGCAGCGGTCCGAGCACGTCGCGCTGGACGCCGCACAGCAGCAGGTTCTTGGAGAGCCGGAGCAACATCAGCAGCGGCACTGATGTCGCGACCACGGCCGCCGCCACCGGCAGTCGCAACGTGGCCGGCAGACCAGCTGGAGCAAAGGCGGAGGTTGGCTCAGACTGTGGTCAGCTGGAGTAGCGGTCGTGGTTAGCATACTGCGGTCAGGTGCAATCGGAACAGTCCTATGCTATTCAGAATGAAAGGGCAGGATGCAGCTGTCCTTCTATAAATTAGGATAAAAAGCCCAAGCAGCTATACTTTCTGAGAGATCATAATAATCGAGAGGGTACTGTTTACGCTATACGATGGCTGTTGAGCCGCTGCTGGGGACATCCCACGCGCACCCACCAAGGGCCCTCACCGTGGAGCACCGTGTCGAAGAAGAGGAAGACACCGCGCCACACGTTTATCACGCCCAGAAAGCCGAACAGCGCGAGTGCATCGTGCACGAAGAGGCCGGGCACGAACGAGAGCGAGCGCATCCACTTGACAGCCGGGAACTGGACGACATAGGCCAGCGTCGTGATGCCGAAGCCCAGGCCCTGGCGGGAAGCACCCGGTGTGTCAGATCACACACGGTCCTAAACACAGGACCGGAGCAACGCAAACCAGACCGGACGTCGGGATCAGCACTCCACGATTCACTGCCACAACGGGGATGTTTGCATGATCCCAAGAATGTCGGTGCCAGGTTGTTGTTGAATGTCGCGTCGCCACGACAGCGATGATGATCCATGAGACGAGGCGAGGCGTACCGGCTCGGAAGCAGCGCACTGCTGACTTAAAGGGGGCGGTATAATGGAGGCTTTATCACCTTCAGTATTATTCGCGGGGCTGAACAAGGAAAGGCCACATTTCGGCTCTCAATCACGAGCAAAATTACCTTCTGGGCCCTAGCCTAATGTCACGTCCACCATAGGAACGGCGCGGTGTCAGATGCGAATTGTCTCATCACACAATGCCCGCTTGCATGAACGAGCGTGTCTATTTTAACGTGATAATACATAATTACACTAATGCCAATATACCAAAATGCTTCATTACACTGTATTCGTGCTCGTGAGTATTTCCTTATCCCTCCGGCTGCCTGCCTTTTTAAGCAAGGTACTCCGAGCGTTTTGCATGAGTTTCATTGGGGTGGTGCACTTAAAGGGACTGTCCCACACTTGAAGATATTGGGACAGTATAAATTATGATGGGAAAAGCTCACCTGTAGCTATTATATAATTTTAAGTTTCAAAACCTGCTTTGAATAACACAATCTCACCAGCCCATAAATATGGTCCTGATTATGCCATCTTTTGTTTACGCCATCGGACATTTCTATGACGTCGGAATCGCAGCCAGAGTTGCCGCGCCAGAGTTAATGTTGTGGCAAACGGCGTGACTCACTTTGGTGCTTCTATGCGCCGCAAGATTGCGTTATTGATGTGCACATGCGAATTCAACGACTATATATAAACATGTATATATATATATATATATATATATATATATATATATATATATATATATATATCCAGGTGACTGGCCAAATGCCTGTGGTAGTTATGGTGAAACGCGTGTCACATTTCAGTATCCGTCCTAAAGAGGTCAGTTTTGCTTTATCCTGATCCTCGGGACGCCCCGTTTACCCAGGGCAGGCTACCCGTACCAGCCATCAGTGGGTTTAAATGCCCCCTGGTGAGGGCTCGGTCCGAGCGTCCGGCACTTTTCCCGCGTAGGGTCCCTTTGCGGCCTTGCGATCAGCGAATTGGCCCCCCGGTGCACGTAGTTCTTCCCACCGTTATCCACTCGCCTTCATTCCATGGCCCTGAATGACCATGGCTGGCCGAAAGAGCTTTAATCCAACAACCAACCAACCAACCGCGCTCCAGACGCGCATTCAACAGCGAAATCTAACATTCCGTAAGCTGTTCAGTGCATTTGCGAGGAGCATTATTCACATAAGTAAGACAGTGGTAATAGCCTTATTCCCAAGAGAAAAACCATGAAAATGGAAATGTAGATGGATTATATTTCTTCATTATATTTCTATATCTCCATTCTCAAGTTTTTTGCCAAGAAATAAGGCTATTTCTACTGTCAAATCTGATATTCATCCAACTGCCTACTGTCGTTGGAATAAATGGCGCTGCATCACTTGAATGAACGAATGCTTAAGTGACCATGCTTTTCTTTCTCGACCATGAGCTCAAAGCAGACAATGAGATGTGGTGCTCGCGTGGCGTTCCTTTGATGTCATACATGTCCGGGTGTCTTACGGTAGGCGGCGGATCAGAGGCTGCGCAAAGTCACGTGCATCAAGTCAAGCCCAGAAAGCAGATGATTAGAAGCCTTAAAAAAGCCAACGCTGTGAACTGCAGAGATGATTATGAACATGGTTCTCTCAATTCAAACCCCGTACAAAGGTGGAATGCTCCCTTGAATTAGAAAAACTCCTTGTATCCACGGCCCACGTAGGCAGCGACACCCGAGTCCGCACCTCATTGGCCCCAAGCTTTTTACCAAAGGGGGTCACAGCGGGATCTTTTTATATCATACAGTGCTTTGTCGCCGGCGCCCTGCGTTGGCTCACGTTGGCTGCGTTGGCACACACACACACACACACTGACCAGTCACCAGATGACAGCTATGTATGTGGTCATCCCGGGCGCAAGGCTCTCTCCGGGTGACGAATACCTGGCCTCTGGACTATCAAGCCTCCATCCCATTCCGTCGGACAGCGGTGGGTCCGCGCCTCACCAGTGAGATGGCGAACATCCCACCCCATCAGCCACAGCGGTGGCTCCGTGCCTCACCAGTGAGATGGCGAACGAGACGGCAGGCTGCTGGGGCAGCAGGCACTTATCCATGATACCCCAGGCACCGCGCCACAGGAACGTGCTGATACAGGTGATGACGCAGGCCAGGAAGGCGTCCATGCTGCGCAGGTGGTACTCATCCGCCATCTGTGAACGAGCGTCATGTCAGCGCTGACGAGCCTGTGTTCACCAGCTGCAGATGGACCACCCGATGATACGGCCGTCATGTCAGCGCTGACGAACCTGTGTTCACCGGCTGCAGGTGGACCGCCCGATGATACGGCCGTCATGTCAGCGCTGACAAGCCTGTATTCACCAGCTGCAGGTGGGCCATACGACAACTCCAGCCTGCGCTTAGCAGCGTGTTACGAGCCAAGTTGGGGAGCGAAACACAGCTAATCCGTTGGGATAACATCTGTTTTTGTGACTATTGGTTGGGTCGAGGAAGCTGCACCGATGTGCACTGAACCTTGTAAAAGCTGAAGTTTTAGCGTTTGGCCGTTGGCAAACGCTTGATATGGTAGGTAAGCTGCGATAATCGTGCTCAGCAATGCCCGCCAGCCGAGGCCCCTCTTAGGTTATGCCGTCGATATTTCATAACAAAGAATGCAATTAAAGCGAAATATTTGTAGCTGTATTGTAAGCAAGGCATCATTTGTATGATTACATAATCACCTACCACCAACAGCAGCCGTTCTGTCAGATGTTTGAAGTTCATGAGACCGTTCTCAAAACCTCTTGGCATGAAACGGTAGCGGTGAAGCGCGCCTGTCGACAGGCCTCTGCTGACTAGATGAATGCACATGAGATGGGTCAAGAAGGAATTAAGCCGACGCGAGGCATCAAGCGGCTCTGTTGTCCGCCACTGCGGCGGAACTAATCCACCCCCGCAGCCCGGCCCCGGCGCGGGGCGAGCTGAGCCACGCCAGGTCGGCACCAGCCAGTCGATAGCTCGCCACGTGCCCGCGGAGCACGGGGCAGGAATGGCTCAGCCACACATGGCGGCCCGCGCAGATGCTATCATTGTCGATACTGCGACGTGCCCGCGGAGAACGGGGCAGGAATGGCTCAGCCACACATGGCGGCCCGCGCAGAGGCTATCACTGTCGATACTGCGACGTGCCCGCGGAGAGCGGGGCAAGAATGGTTCAACCACACGTGGAAATCCGTGCAGAGTCTATCCTTGTCGATGTCTTGTGTTAACACGGTGCAAAGAACCGTGCCAACTGCATGGACTACAAGCGGGTGCAGGCCTACACACATACGCCTAAACTAAAATCACGACTGATGTCAAAAGAAAGCGGGATTCATGTATCACTACACATCATTATCACCATTCGCACGATTACTCTGGACACAGAAACGCCAGAGCATTGCACGGGGTGCAATACTTCGACCCGACGCAATAAGGTCATATCTCTGTACCTGCCGGCTGTTTTCATACGTTGTTGACATGTTTCAGCTGTTCGCTATGGAATACAATAATTAAGCGCATATACCCAGTCGAACGGGACATCAAATAACGAAATTACAGTCTCGTGTATCTGTTTTAAAAACAAACAAAATCAAAGGAACATTAGTACTGCACTCCTCCCGTTTATGAACTCCTGAAGTTGGTGGACATTCACTTCCCTCGCCTCTAACGCGTGTCACGCCACTCCGACCAGCCGACCTCCTAACGCTGCTATCGACCTAGCGCACAGCGTGTGCGGGCAATCCGAAGGCGGATATAGCATCTTATCTTGGAGGAAGCTGAGGTTTAAGCAGGGGCAACACAAACCTAGGACGGCAAAATGTCTGCTTTTGCAGCTCCTTCGGGGCATGTCTGAGGGGACCCGCTTGCATTTGCCCCTGCGCAGGACCCTCCCTTTTCCAGAACACGGACCGGAGCAAGTGTTGCCGAGCTTCGACCGACTAGTCGTCACGTAGTCTGACGAGCGAGGGATCTAAAGCTGCAGCTCATTTGGCATGCATTCACGTGACAAGACGAAACCTGGATTCATCTGTAATTTGCCATCATTTGGGAAAAAGATGTCCCGTTCTTGATTCGAGAAACGTTGGTGAATGGAGGACACACAGAGCGAGGGTGTCCAAGAGCACATAAGGCCGACGCGTGTGGCGTATCTGGCAACGCACGAGCCGCGCGCCGGCTTCTACACAACCTGCCATACACACACGTGGATCCCTCCAGCCTCGCGTCACTGCTTCCTATGTTCTACCTGTAACGCTACATTTCATGTAATTTTTGATCTCTTGACATAGCAGCTAAATCTAGGAAGCTCTCGAGGTCGGCGGGCCCACAGCACGGGAGTGTCATTGCGAGTTGGGGCACGATGGGCAGCTCCCCTGCCGACCGCGTGCTGGCGAGCGGGCCTCCGGACGGCCTTCAGTGCGTGCTGAGAACTTCCCCCTCTGATGTATGAGCCGGGCGCCAGTGGCCCGCCGCTAGCCATGTCAGAACGGCTACTCACGCCGTGATACACGCAATATCACTGACTCGTGCTGAAAAAAGGACCGCATGGAAACCAACGCTCTCCTACGCAGGATAAGGTATGTGTGTCAGCCATATCCTCCTGTAGAACGGTGTACTGAACTCCCGGCCAGCGTTCTATGTTGTGTTGTTATGTTGTGTTATGTTGCATTCCAAACCGTTGGGGCCATGAAACTTGGCGACTTTACCTGTCAATCGATTACACACAGTCTGTCAAAATCTGAGCCCGTTTTTGGCTGTCTAGGAGCGACTCAAGGAATTGTTTTTGGAGACATGCATGACGAATGACGGGTGGCTCTAGGTTTCTGTCACATGCTCCGTTTTTTTTTTTTGTCTCTTTTGAGCCGATGCTTGACTGAACTGAATTATCATATGGTTTGTTAAATCAAGAATTATCAAATTCCGCTGGTGTGCCACACATGTGATCCACCAGGCGCGGATCCAGCAGTTTGGTACTTGTACACATGAGCTTTGCCAGGCAACGCATAGAAAAGTGTAGCTTCGTCCGCGGACGTCATTGTATCCTATAATGACATAGATGCAGGGGGTGCGTTACACCAACAGCAAACCTGCTCACGTAGAGGCAACGCCTTGTGGTTGTGATGGGGGAGCGCGAGCTGCTGAGAGCGTTTTGTGTCCGGCCGGCGCGTAACATGCGTGTGGTTCTCTTGTCTGACCGCTGACATCAGGTACGCTGACAATATATCCTGCATTTGAATCCAGTAGCAAGTTTGACTCCAAATGTTTTGCCAGGTGACCTCAAGCGCTTATTAACTGTTTTTTCTTGTCACCCTCTGCTGTTTACCCTCTGCTTTTCATCCCGACGTCCACTACCAGCCGACGTCACTAGCCTGTGTGCTGTTGCATCCTTTCCGGTCCAATGGGCACGGCTTTTAATCTCCGCGGTCTTGTAAGCAGGCAAATGTCAAGGCCTAATAATGTGAAGCTCTACCCAATTTGATCATGCCCAAGTCCTGCACCAATGATTCAAAGCCATTTGCTCAGGATACAATTATCAGTTTTGTGTATTCATTTGTGTTTGTAGCCATCTCCGTACCAAGTAAGCCAATCAGGCTGAGAGCATGTAAAAGCAGCTCATGTTCACTGTACAGCACTCTTTAAGTATGCATAAATCTATATTCTTCATGGAAAGTCCTATTCAAGGTCTAGTAAAAACGCGATATTACAAAATCTGTTTTGCTCTGTTGTGGTTTTCTTCCTTGGTACGCGGTATTGGCTTAATATGTATATACAGGGACACACTCATGTATATATATATATATATATATATATATATATATATATATACATATGTATATATACATGTGTGTATCATATGTATATGTATACATATGTGTGTATATATATGCATACCTATATATATATGTATATATATATATATATATATGTACATTTATATATATATATATATATATATATATATATATATACATATAAGCTTGTATATATCAAACAAGAGCTAACACTTCGATTGTCAGTTTGAACCCTATGAGAACAAAACCGATCCGCTGGACATTCATATCTCTAAAGGGTCGAATCGCTTCCTCACAGCGAGCAGGTCACACCCTCCACTTGAACACGGGACTAATGCACATTGTCATAACCTCCCATTATAAACACAACCTGCTTATCGGTTGAACTCCCGCCTGCACTTGGGGTATGCCGGCGCGCGTAGCACTTGGGGCAGGCCAACGCGCGTAGCCCTTGGGGCATGGCAGCGAGCGTAGCACTTGGGCCATGCAATCGTGCGTAGCGCTCGGGGTAAGCCAGCACTGGTCTGCCGTCCCCTGGCGGTGGCGCACTCACCGTAGAGCCGAGGGGCGACTCGTGGCTGAAGAAGGAGCGGGCCAGGTCGACGTCGACCGAGAGCGGCAGCGCCACGGCCGTCGCCAGGAAGCGCAGCTTGCCGAGCACGAGCAGGCCGGCCGTCGCGAACATGCAGTAGGAGAGCCAGCTGAGGCCCGAGTCGGTGTCCATGAGCAGGAAGATGCCACGCCACAGCGACACCACGCCCAGCCAGAGGAGCAGCAGGACGCCGCGGGCGGCGACGCGCCGCGCCCGGCCGGCGCCGGGGCCGAAACAGGCCAGCTGCAGCCGGTCGCGCAGGAACGTCTGCAGGTAGACGGTCACGGCGCCCAACACGAACGACGTCCAGGCGGAGGGCAGCGTCCGGCGGGAAACACGGCCGCGTCCATCAGGATCCAGAGCGCCTTCCATGCGCAGGTGACCAGCAGCGTGGCGCCGAAGAAGGCGAGCCCGAAGTCGGCGGCGGCGGTGAGGAGCCGCAGCCGCGGCGCCGGCGACGGCAGCTCCTCAGGCCGGCCCATGCTCCCGTGCCGGCCGCTGGCGAGCCAGTGGCGGCGGCGGCGGCGGCGGAGCGCGGGGCCGCGTCGATAGGCGCCTCTCGAGGACGCAGGGGCGCCGAGAGGACCGCCGCGCCCGCCACGTGCGGCCGTCCATCGACCGCGGCGTGGACGCCCGGGGTGCCATCCCCGCCCCCTCCCCACCCACCTCCACGGCGGAACTGCCCTTGTCGGAACGCGGAGAGGGGGGGGGGGTGACCCCGGCCTGACCGGTGGCAACCCGTCCAGTGCATCGGGGGGGGGGGGCGGGGAATCGCGAACGGGTGGGCGGATACAGAAGGACAACACTAGAGCGACCTTGTATAAACCGTCACGTATGTACCACCTATGGAGGCCAACATTTCCTAAATGCCCGGTCTAGTCAACATCAGGCGGTCTCAGCCACATTCACGTTGGCGTTGTTGTCGCAGTCACTCGCAGGATGTATGCTGTCATGCATATGTGTGCCGCAGTATGTTCCAGGACCACATGAAACAATAGTGGATATCATGAAGGTCAAGCAATCCCGAGATAAGCAGACCAACCCCGTAAATGTCGGGGTGCTGCCACGCTGTTACAAACCCCGATAAGGGGACTGGCGTACTCGCGCTGACCGGGTCCGCAGTTTCGACATCGGCTAAAATGGGAGCACATTCAGCATGGTGAACTTAAGATAGTTTTAGGTGTCTGCTGGACACGCTGAACGCCCTGATTACCGTGTGGTTGTCACTCTGACAGACGTTCACAACTTTGGCCTTCAAAGGTTACAGGGCCTACAAGTATTGCAATTTGCCTGAAAACACGCTGGCTAGCTGCGCTCGGGCTCCAGGATAGGACTGACCAACGGTCGAAAATGGTCAAGCCACGGCGCTATAAATGTGATTAGATTGTGTGCTACTGCGAAACGCATAAGAAAACAACGCGCACACAAAAGGGAGGTCAGGTATGTGGCGGCGATGCCAGGGCAATGCCACGATTCCTGTCTGTTTGGGTGGCTATATATAGCTAGGTGAACACGGCGCGTGGATGTGACCTAGTGGGGCCAACAAAACTATACAAGTAAGTTCCATCAGAAGCATCAGATGAAGCGTCTAAAGTCGAACTAGTGACAACCTCAGTCACTGACCCTGTTGACCCGTCACATTGACCTCAACATCAGTCTGACTGGTAAACGTGACGGCTATGGGTGACTGAGACACTCACCGAACCAAGTCTGACTCCAGTCTGTTGGGCTGCTTTTAAATTCTAAATGGGCTGCTCTTCCAAATGGAGGAGCTGCTTTTAGGTTGTGGCCTTCAAAAAAAGCATGTACCAATTACTGCGTGACAAGGTAATTCTCGGTAAAAAAATAAATGAAAGACCGAATGGAAAAACCCGAAAGAAAAAACTGAACGCAAATAGCTGAAAGGAATAAAAGCTGGGTCGGAAAAGGAGGACACAAAGTCGAATGGGAACAACACATCAGACATTAGAGTAGAATAACAAAGCTGCATGACATAAATTCGAATGGGATATATTTTATTGGCCTTCAAAGGTCAATGAAAAGCATCCTTTTGGCAATGAAGGTATAGTTATTTGTCGACAGAAATGATAGTGAAGTCTGAAATGTCGATGGATAGAGTTGACAGACAGAATTCGAACAAAAAAGTGGATGAAAATAGGCAAAATTACGTAGCTCGTTGAGTGGTTTTGCGAGTAGCAGTATGCACGTAGATAAGACAGTAGTAATGGCCTTGTTCCTCGGAGAAAAACCAGGAAAATGGGAATATAGATGCGTAGATATTTCGGCAGCATGCCTTCATCAAAACGAATAGCAGAAGTTGACTTCTGCTAGTCGTTTCGATGAAGGCATGTTGCCGAAATATCAACTCATCTCCATTCCCATTCTCCTGGGTTTTATCCGAGGAATAGGACTATTACTCTTGCCTCATCTATAAAAAGACGAAACGTTTAAAAGTCGACAGATATAGGTCAGATTGTAAAGCGAAGAAGTTCGAGAAAAAACTGACACTTATTTTGACCTAGCTGCCTTTGATATATTTTGCATTGGCTTTCTTTGTTACCGGCACTTGCGTTTTTGGGCTATTCTTGTTATAACCTATTTTTACTTCGAATTTAATTCTTGTCGACATTTTGTTCGTTGACTTTTCCAGTTCCACTTCAATCCCTGCGAACTTTATTCCTAACAGTGTTTTGCCTTTTGATTTTTCCTATTTGACCTTTATGCTGATGGGCTTCCATTCCTTTCGGTTTTTTGTCCCCCGACTTTTCCGTTTCGGCATTTGCCCCTGTCGATTTCCATCCCTTACACTTCTTGTTTATTCAACCTCTTCTAGTTCGAGTCTTATTCCTGGCGGTGCTTATCTCCGTCAACTATTTACCGTTCAACTTTATTCCATTCATGTCTTTTTCTATCTACCTTTGCGATACAGGTAAAATAAGCACGAAACAACGTTCGGTGTGCATTGTGCGCAATGCCGAAAATCGTTGAAGGTTGCATACGATTTTTTGTGTAAAAGCGTTTGTCATGGTGCGTACAGAATACGCGGCTAATAACTCATTAATAGTTAATGTCCACATGCCAGGCGTATTTATTGCATTACATATTTTGCCCGGTACACATTGTCTCGATCACAAGTTATTGTATTGCTTAAGTTATGTTTGAGCATATTTTCCAAACCATGGTATTGGTGAGCAGTCCTAGCACCTCATAATACTAATGCTGAACATAATCATCTCCATCTAGCATCGATGTGTTCGTAACAATCCTCTGACCACTGAATGTCTGACCCTTAGCTTGATCAGAAGTTCGTGCCGTTTGCTTGAGATGTGACAACACGAGGACTCGGAGATGTGAGCCGGATTAGGCCTGGATTGTATCGGGCTTCATCAGCGGAAGAGCGGCTGAACTCCGAACTACCGCCGCCGGCCACAGGGGCCGTCCATCAGCGCGCCCGGCGGCTGAACCAATCGGCAGTCCGCACTGCGTGTCGGCCGCGTCGCAGGTGCTCGCGATAGATGACCAGGGCGCTCGGCCGGCGGTCCCCGGCCGAGCGGGCAGGACGAGCCGGTCGGGGACGAGGACGGGGGCGAGCGGCCGGCGAGCCTCCGCAGGGGGCTGTGTCGTTGCCGTCTGCGCGGTCCGCCTGACGGCAGCCGGGCAGGCGTGACACGCTCCTCGCGTGTCACCGCAGACCATGCTCACCACCACCGCTGGAAGGAGGAGGGGGGGGGGGGGGCAACGTCTCTGACGCCCTGCGGCGGCGAGTCGTGCCAGCACCCGATGTGGACCGGGCTCCTGTCAGCGAACGGATGTGCGTTCCCGAGCCGGCCTGTCCTGTGCAGTTGAGAAACCCTTCACGACCGGGAGTTATGAATGATTACCCGACGGTATGTACATATTTCTTGACACAGATCGGAAGGCATGTTTGTGCAAGTTTTCAAAATAAAGGTCATTGACATTCTATTCAAAATCCACGTTAAATTTCGAAAGTATCCTGTGCAAAAGGAAATTAATTCTAGCGTTCAAGCCATCGCCCATATGGTCTGGGTTTTGGGGACCGTGAGTCTTAGCATTATCTCTGTTTTGGTTTATTTTGAGGAGAACATCCCCAATGAGATCACACAAGGACATCAAAATGTGAAACAGGGCAGGTTCATTCCGGGTGGTCTGAAGTACTTCGTCACGATCGCGCCGTCCCTCAGCTCTCCGATTTGCTGGGTGAGAGTTCACAGCATATCGATCATCTCCTCAATGTTCTGTCGCATATTGACCTTTACGCTATCTACAGAGCGTCCCAAACATGACTTGACACCTACTGTGTGCACTTTAGCCCCTGCTGCTGACTGCACTACTGCCGGATACAGCTGCCGTCCGCTGTTGAGCGGTTTCGTTCGCCGTGGACCCGGACCAACGACGGTTGTCGCCGCAGGGTGTAAATGGGTTAACGTGGAGGACGGGTTCCGTGGCCTGTTTTTATTCCGCAAGATGGGGACCGCGTGCAAGGTCACTCCCAGCGAGGCTCCTCGTGCCGAAGTTAATGGATCGATTAAGGGAGGTGTCAATCAGCGGAAAGTTGCGAAGGGTCAGGAGCGCCCATTCAAACTGTGTGTGATGGATAATTTTTTATTTGTAAGCCGATTCGCTGTCTAAAAAAGCGCGCTGACCGCCCCGCTGCAATCCGTAGGGTGGTATAGATCGTCTCTGGTAGGGCCGAGAGCAAGCGTCGCCAGAGCGTGGGGAAAATAGCAGCAAAACTGCCAGGTAAGGATGCGTAGCATTCGAGCCAAGCACACACAAATTTGCAATAGATTATCTGTACCTGCAGCCGCGCAAGAGTGCAAAACAGTCCAAAGTCAGGAGAAAAACGACGGCGATCAACGTTGCAGTTTCACAAGGTGAACGTCTGGGCCGCTGATGACTTCGCGCGCTTATCTGGGGTGATGAGCCGATTTCGAAGTCCAACACTTGACCAATCGCCAAAACAACAGCATTGGGCCGGGTCACACGGTTGAGTCCATCCTCTTGATGCTTTCAAGCAGCGCGCAAAGCTGATGTTGTGGCGGCAAGCTTTGCTCAGGCGTTCACAGAGCTGCTCATGCCCCCTTCCCCGCCCCCCCCCCCCCCCCCAGGGGTAAGCGGTCAACTCAGAATACCACGCGTCTGAGATGTTCACAGAGCTG